AGAAGATATCCAGTTTTGGGAAAATCCTTGTGAATCGATTATCTTGCAGAGACAATCGACTATCTGGTTCCTCAGAACATTCCCCGTTCTGTATCAAACCCTATTAATCGATTATCAGTAAGAGATAATCGATTATCACCTATCTCAAAACTTGGAAACCGAAGTGGTCTCTGATTTAACAGTAAAGGTTTTGTCATTTAGGAACACACTTGACTAAATATCATTCCCACTATATATGGACGAAATTCCCATGTTATTATTCAACAAAATCAAAGACTTTTATAAGCTTAATCCCTCACCCATGTGCCTGCCCAAAAAGTCTTTGATTGAATAGTAATTTTCTAGTCCTATATTTCACTAGAAGTCAAGCCATGTTGTTTCCTTTATTCCTTCACCCTAAGGACGAAAATCATGCATAAAACCACTAAAAATACATGCCAAAATCCCTGATCATTAGCCAAGAATTCAACTCATTTGGGATATTAACACATGCACAGCATTTGTTTTATTTTGTAGGAAAGAAGTGGGAAGTTTCCTGTGTTGTATTTTATTTATCATGTAATCATGTTTGTTGTATTGTTTTTTTCATTCCATGGCCTATATATTTCAGCCCTGGATCAATGTATAAGCAGCTTGTAAAATATATTGTGATAATATAAGTTTCTTGCTCAGTTCTCTCTCTAAGTACTCTATATTAAATCCTAATTCTATATCTTAAGAGTGGTTCTCTTAAGTGGGAGTTTTAGGTTCTAGATATATTAAATAAGTTGAGTGATTCCTTATTTAAATACTAGAGTTTAACCTGAGTGAAGATAAGTGTGTGTGATTCCTCTTATTATTCATTTGATAAATGCTTCTTTCCCTCTCCCTTGTTTTCTCCTGAATTCAGCCTCCCCTATATTTCTACACCTTCTCTTCTTCTTTCTCTTCTTAAATTGATATCCTAGACCACCCCGGGTCTCGGGTACAACATTTGGTATCAAAGCTTGTTGTTGAACATCTCTTTGAGGACCACAAACACTTCCCTCTCTTTCTTTCTTTCTTTCCCAATCTTGATCCTGATAGCATCGATAATCGATTATCAAACTCAGATAATCGACTATCTTCCCCTGCTGAATTTTCTTCACCTACACCCCTCTTTCCTTACACCTATTTCTTTTAAACCATGTCTCACACAACTCAAAACATGTCCCAAGAAGAGCTTATTGCTTCAAATGCAGAATTAAAGGCTCAAGTTGAATACTTGGCAAAAGAAGTGGCAAAGCTCACTAAATTCAAGATGAGTATGGTTCAAACTCCTGAAGAAAGTGAAGATGAAGATGATGCTAGTTCTGTTGTTACCATAAGAACTAGAAATCCAGAGAAGTCAGCCTCTGATTTCAAGGTTGACATGCCCAGTTTTGAAGGAAAGAACGACCCTGATGACTTTCTTGAATGGTTAGAGACCGTTGAACGTGTCTTTGATTTCAAGAATGTGTCCGAAGGGAAGAAGGTCAAACTCGTGGCCTTAAAGTTCAGAAAGTATGCGTCAACATGGTGGACCAACGTCACCATTAGGCGTAGAAGAGAAAACAAGTCCCCGGTGACCACGTGAAACAAGATGCGAACACTCTTGAAGAAGAAGTTTCTGCCAGAGAACTACATACGAGAAAACTTTGCTAAGCTTCAACACTTGAAGCAAGGACCTCGTTCTGTAGAGGAATACAACCGAGAGTTTGAGGAACTCTTATTAAGGTGTGATCTTCAAGAAGATGATTCACAAACTTTTGTGAGGTATGTATTTGGATTGAATGTCCAAATAGCTAACACTGTGGAACTGCAAGACTACCAAACCCTTGACGATCTTACAAAGTTGGCTCTCAAAGTTGAAAGCCAAATCAAGAAAGGCAAGGCTGCCCAAATGAGAACCTCTTCTTCATACCCACCTTTACTCCCCACTCCTTCATCCCCTCCACATCCCACGTCCTCTCACCATAAACCCATACTTCCAAACCCTCCCTCAAATATCCAAAATCAATCCCGGCACAATCAAAACATCAACCGAAGTCCGAAATGTTATCGTTGCCAAGGCAATGGTCACATAGCTCAAGATTGTCCCAATAAGAAGGTCATGACTCTGGTGGAGTGCAATGATGATACTTTTGACCCTTCATGGGATAAAGAAGAAGAAGAGTATGTCGGACCTGATGATGGAGAGCTGTTGGTCATTTGTAGAACTTTAAGTGCGATGGCCTGTCCAAAAGAAGAAATNAAGAGAATCACCCTTACTTCTCTTCATCCTGAAGAAAAATCTCCTGTTCATCTGTCAACATTGATACGAGCTGGTAAATCTGAATACATAGAAGAAACTCGTCGTGAGACGATAACAACGACGCAAGTCAACCAGCATGTTTGTGGGAACGTGAATGAAAACACGAGAGGCCTCAATGATCAATCCAAGCCAATTTATACTCCGAGTTTGAGGTCAAACTCTTTTGAAGATGGGGAGGATGTTGTACCCCACCATGCATCACAAAAGGGTAAGAAAAATCAGGGGATAATGCTTAAGTGTTATAATCCTAATTGGGTTGAATTTATTCCTTTTTCCCATCAAAAGGCCCAACCCTTAGCCCTTGCTGCCCAAATTCCCCCCTAGCCAAATCACAACCCACAAACCCTCCCACAACATCCAAACTCATTTTCTCTGCCCAAAATAAAGTCTTTGTTATTCATTACTAAGCCTAGGCCGAAGGTGAACAACAAAAGACAAAATAAAACTTTTGTTTATTTTTTCTTAGACATGATAAATGATTATCCAACATAGATAATCGACTATTGCTTCCCTCTGAATCCTCTCAATGTATTCCTGCAAATGCTCCATAATCGATTATCTCCCTATAGAAAATTGATTATTACTCATCTTAGAAGATATCCAGTTTTGGGAAAATCCTTGTGAATCGATTATCTTGCAGAGACAATCGACTATCTGGTTCCTCAGAACATTCCCCGTTCTGTATCAAACCCTATTAATCGATTATCAGTAAGAGATAATCGATTATCGCCTGTCTCAGAACTTGGAAACCGAAGTGGTCTCTGATTTAACAGTAAAAGTTTTGTCATTTAGGAACACACTTGACTAAATATCATTCCCACTATATATGGACGAAATTCCCATGTTATTATTCAACAAAATCCAAGACTTTTATAAGCTTAACCCCTCACCCATGTGCCTGCCCAAAAAGTCTTTGATTGAATAGTAATATTCTGTCCTATATTTCACTAGAAGTCAAGCCATGTTGTTTCCTTTATTCCTTCACCCTAAGGACGAAAATCATGCATAAAACCACTAAAAATACATGCCAAAATCCCTGATCATTAGCCAAGAATTCAACTCATTTGGGATATTAACACATGCACAGCATTTGTTTTATTTTGTAGGAAAGAAGTGGGAAGTTTCCTGTGTTGTATTTTATTTATCATGTAATCATGTTTGTTGTATTGTTTTTTTCATTCCATGGCCTATATATTTCAGCCCTGGATCAATGTATAAGCAGCTTGTAAAATATATTGTGATAATATAAGTTTCTTGCTCAGTTCTCTCTCTAAGTACTCTATATTAAATCCTAATTCTATATCTTAAGAGTGGTTCTCTTAAGTGGGAGTTTTAGGTTCTAGATATATTAAATAAGTTGAGTGATTCCTTATTTAAATACTAAAGTTTAACCTGAGTGAAGATAAGTGTGTGTGATTCCTCTTATTATTCATTTGATAAATGCTTCTTTCCCTCTCCCTTGTTTTCTCCTGAATTCAGCCTCCCCTATATTTCTACACCTTCTCTTCTTCTTTCTCTTCTTAAATTGATATCCTAGACCACCCCGGGTCTCGGGTACAACACTTGTGTTGTGTTCTTGAGCGTTTTTAGTTACTCAATTATCCACTCTAAAAGAGAGTATTGTTCTTGAGTGTTTTTAGTGTTCTTAGACACTTGACAAGAGAAAATATTTCTCTTGTTGTTCGAAGGAAGGGTTGTTTCCTTCGAGGGTTTGTTGAGGTTCGTGTGACTCGAACTCTCAAGTTGTATGGGTTTGTTAAGCACCGTTAAGCTTAACAAGATAGTAGTGTAGCTCGAGAGAGTCTCTCGGGAGGCTGGATTAGCCACAAGTTGTGGTGAACCAAGGTAAAATCGGTGTGCCTCTTACTCTTCTCTTTACTTCTCGTTTATTCATTTTTTATTCCTGCGATTTCTTGATCAAACGCTATTCACCCCCCTCTAGCGTTGGTCTATTATTCTAACAATTGGTATCAGAGCCTAACTCGCGTCCAAACTTAACCGTTTGAGAGTAAAGCGATCATGGGTTCTTCTTCTAGAAATCTCTATGCAAGAATTGGAGAAGGTCAATCAACTTCTAGGCCACCACTCTTTGATGGTACCAATTATTCCTATTGGAAGGAACGGATGAGAATCTATATTCGTTCCACCAACTTCCAATTATGGTTGGTCATCAAAAAACGGAGAGGAAATCCCAATGAAGAAAGTAGGAGAAACCACGGTTCCAAAAACCGAGGACGAGTTTGATGCCGAGGACATCAAGAAGATTGAGAATTATGCAAAGGCCATCAATATGCTATATTGTGCGGTCAACCCCGATGACTACCGAAAGATCTCCTGTTGTACGTACGAAGGTACCGATCAAGTGCGTGAAGCCAAGATCGATTTTCTCACCCAAGAGTATGAAATGTTTCGAATGAAGGAAGGTGAGAAAATCGACGACATGTTTGATTGTTTCTCAAAAATCATAAACGATCTTCATGCTCTTAAGAAGACGTATACCAACAAGGATCTCGTAAGAAAATCCTGCGAAGCCTCACCCCCGAATGGAGGTAAAAAGCCGATGCAATCTATTTATCCATTGGAGTCTCCAACGTCACCATCGACGGGCTAAGAGGTAATCTTAAAACCTATGAATCTACTATTCTAACCCCGTCTTTGGATGAACAAAAGAAAAAGGGGATAGCTCTCAAAGCCACCAAGGAACCGGTGGAAGAGGTCTCAAGCGATGATGACAACGAATTTGGACTCGTCATCAAGAAGTTCCACAAGTTCATGAAGAAGGGATTTGAGCGGAAGGGAAGGAAGCACGACGGTCCTCCCAAGTGCTACGGCTGTGGCGAGATTGGCCACATCAAGCCAAGGTGTCCAAAAGCCAAACACGGCAAGGACAAGCCCAGCTTCAAGAAGCAAAGGGCTTACATCTCTTGGGGTGGCGATTCCGGCGACGAATCAACTGACCAAGAGGAGGACGAAGCTGCAAATCTTTGCCTCATGGCGCACGAAGATCAAAACGACGACATCCAAGAGGTATGTACCATTTCTTCCGACTCTTATACTTTTGAAGAAATGCAAGAAGCACTTCATGAACTTTATGAAGAATTTGTTAGTGCTTCTAAAACAAATAAATCTTTGAAGAGACGTCTTTCTACACTTGAAAACGATTTTGAAAAATTGGAAAAAGAAAATGAAAAACTTAAACAAGAAAACAATTTTTTTGGAAAAAGAAGCACTGACAAACCGAAAAGTTCATCAAGTGAATGTGGGTCTTGTAAAGCTTTAAAAGAGCAAGTCGCTAAACTTGAGAGCACGGTCAAGAAATTTAATACTCCTCACAAAGACTTAAATTTACTTCTTGACACTATGCACTTTTCTAAGGAAGGAATAGGTTTCAATAAAAATGAAGCTAAAGAAAATGTTGAGCCACCACCTAGACAATTATCTAAGGTTCAACATAAGAAACCTAAAAATCAAGATAATAGAAAACCTAGTAAACCTAAGGACACTAGAAAACCTAGACTAAAACCTAGGAATGAAAATGGTCATGGTAGACAACCTAAGAAAATGATTTTGTGCATAAAAACGAATTTTCTCAAATTAGGAGAAATAATGCTAGAGCACCTAGAAAAGGCCAGTTTCAAAATTTTCAAAAACCATTGTTTTCACAAAATAGGAACAAAATGGTTAAACCCTCTAACTATTATGAACCTAGGCACATGTGATATATCCCAGAGCACCACAAATCACCCTCAAGTCCTTAAGGAAATCAATGGAATAATGTCCAAATGTTATGACCCCCTCTGGAATGAAATCATCACCAAACCATGCACCCTAACCATACTTACCCTGAACCCATCACCACCTTAATAACCAATCCCAAGTAAAGTGTTAGGTAAGGGTCCTTAGGTTTCTTTTGGTTCGGTGTTAAAGGGAAAGGAGAATAAAATGTTACGGCTTTTATTCACAGGTTTTTGTGTGGGTCGTAGGTCCCCATTATGTTCCCCAATACACTCAAATTATAACCCAAAATGCCCAGGGATATTTTCCTTTCACAATAATACATCCAATCCCCACAACAACCCTACAACAAAACTCCAAATGACACACCCCACACACACCCCTTTGTCTCCCAACCCTGACCAAATTCAAATTCCCCCCAAAACCTCCATAAATACCCAGCCAAATGTACCACTTCATCTCACCCCCACTCCTTGGCCCTCAACCTCAGCCCTCCCCACATTCATCCCTCCTTCCCCCAACATTTCCTGCAACTCAAGAACAGCCCAAAACCCCACCAAACAACCCATATCCCTGATTTCATTCCACTTAAGAAACATAAGCACATGGGCATTATTTTGAGTGAATTGTATTTTCCATTATTCCCTCCAATGTAATCCTATATATTCAGCAATAGGCCTGGGTGTAGAAACACATTGTATTCCATTTTTAATCAAAGTGATTCACTTGTGTGTTTCATTCCAAATTCCTAATCCTATATCTTAAGAGTGGTTCTCTTGAGTGTGAGTTTTAGGTTCTAGTTATTTGAATAAGTGTGTGATATCTTATTTGAATGCTAGACTCAACCCCAAGTTAAGATAAGGGTGTGTGATATCCCTTGACACCAACTTGGCTTGTTCCCCTTCCCACAAATACTTCTTTTCCTATCTCGCGCTGCCAAGTAATCGACTATCACTATAAATATTCGATTATCCATCCTTCGTGAAACACCTGCAGCCTTCAATAGTCGATTATCACTCTTAGATAATCGATTATCAGGCTTCCCCAGAATCCTGCAACTTCCAATAATCGATTAACGCTCCTCCGATAATCGATTATCTCCCTTCTCAGAACATTCCCCGAAATTGCCCAAGAACCTGAAGCCCTCAACAATCGATTATCCACTTAGGACAATCGATTATCTCCCCTTCCCTGCAAATAAAGAGATTGTAACTATAAAACCCATAGCTTAGATATAACATTTGGTATCAGAGCTTGTTGTTGAGCATTCCCTTGAGGCCATACAACACACTTCCCCCTTTCCTTCCTTTCCATATCCTTTACTTTCTTTCCCTTACTATCATCATGTCAAACACTTCCAACAACCTGTCCAACGAAGAACTCCTAGCCTCCAATGCTGCTCTCAAGGCCCAAGTTGACTACTTGGCCAAGCATGTTGCCCAACTCACTAAGCTCAAGATGAGCATGGTAAATACCCCGGAGGAAAGTGAAGAAGACGAAGAAGTTCACCCCGAAGCTAACTCTAGTAACACCACTAGAGAGGAGAATCATGAACGAGGAGCTACCGATTTCAAGGTTGACATACCAACCTTTGAAGGGAAAAACGATCCGGATGACTTTCTAGAGTGGCTGGAAACTGTTGAGCGCGTCTTTGACTTCAAAGATGTGCCCGAAGAAAAAAGGGTCAAGATCGTGGCATTGAAGTTTCGGAAGTATGCCTCCACTTGGTGGTCCAACCTATCCACCAAAAGAAGGCGAGAGAATAAGGCCCCTGTGAAGACTTGGCTCAAGATGAGGAGCTTGTTGAAGAAGAAGTTCCTGCCCGAACAATATGTACGGGACAACTTTTCCAAACTTCAACATCTAAGGCAAGGTCCCCGCTCAGTTGAAGACTATACTCGGGAGTTTGAAGAACTTTTGATGAGATGTGATCTTCACGAAAACGATTCACAAACATTGGTACGTTACCTATTTGGATTAAACACTCAAATAGCTAATGTAGTAGAGCTGCAATCTTATGATACTTTTGAAGAGCTCTCTAAGCTGGCTCTCAAAGTTGAGTCCCAACTTAAGAGAAACAAAACCTCATTTGTCCGTACTTCACCCTTTTCCAAAACCCCTCCAACTACCTCAAAGATAACTCCAAACACCCCTTCTCAAAATACCCTCTCAAAAACCAATTCTATCCCGTCTACGTCCGCCAATCCACCCCCATTCAAAACAGCCCAAGCAAACACCCGGACTCCCAAATGTTTTCGTTGCCAAGGCATAGGACATTTTGCCAATGAATGTCCCAACAAGAAGATAATGGCCATTGTTGAATGCGAAGAAGAAGAGATCAGTCCCTCATGGGCTGAAGAAGAGCATGAAGAAGAAGAGTGTGTTGGAGCGGACGAAGGAGAACTCTTGGTCATCCGAAGGGCCTTGAGTAACATAGCTAGTCCCGATGACCAACTACAGCGGGAAAACATTTTCCATACCCGTTGTACTATTCAAAAGAAGGTATGTACTTTGATCGTGGATAGCGGAAGTTGTACAAATGTCGCTTCAAAAACGTTGGTAGATAAGCTGAAGTTGAAGACCTCACCACACCCGAGGCCATACACGATTCAGTGGTTGAACCATGGCAAGGGATTACGTGTGGATTCCCGGAGTTTGGTATCATTAAGCATTGGACGAAGTTATTCCGACGAGATATGGTGTGATATCATTCCAATGGATGCCTGCCATGTTCTATTGGGACGACCATGGTTATTTGATCGGAAGGTGTTCCATGACGGATATGCCAACACATATTCATTCCTCACTAACAAGAAGAAGGTTACCCTCACATCCTTGCCCCCCTCTAACCCCACAGCTACCCCCCCATCCGAAGAAGAAACCCCCGTTCTCATTTCCACTATATTGCAAGCCGAACACCATGAATATGAACCCCGAAAAGAACTGATTCTCTTTGAAAACGAAGCCTCCGATTCCGCCACAACCTCAGCCCCACCTCACCCGTTAGCCAAGCCTATCGTTGAGCAATTCTCCCATGTCTTTCCCGAAGATGTGCCTCACGGCCTACCACCAAAACGAGACATCCAACACAAGATTGGTCTCATTCCTGGAGCTGCCCTACCAAACAAGCCTGCGTACCGAATGAACCCTGAGGAAACCAAGGAGATCCAACGGCAAGTTGATGAGTTACTAGCCAAAGGATTCGTGAGAGAAAGCTTGAGCCCCTGTGCTGTTCCAGCTCTTTTGGTGCCAAAGAAAAATGGTACTTGGCGTATGTGTTGTGATAGCCGAGCCCTTAACAAGATTACCATCAAGTATAGGTACCCCATACCTAGGATTGAGGACATGTTGGATGAACTTCATGGATCCAATATCTTCTCAAAGATTGATCTCCAAAGTGGTTATCATCAAATTCGAATCTTTGAGGGAGATGAATGGAAAACAGCATTCAAGACGAAGTTCGGGTTATACGAGTGGCTAGTTATGCCATTTGGATTAACCAATGCACCAAGCACATTCATGAGACTAATGAATCAAGTGTTGAAGCCATTTATAGGTCACTTTGTCGTAGTATACTCTGACGACATTTTGATCTACAGCCGGAACGAGGAAGATCATGCTAATCACCTCACTTTGGTGATTAAGAAATTGGAAGAAGAGAAGTTATATGGAAACCTTGAGAAGAGTCAATTCTTTTCTCAAGAAACCGAGTTTTTGGGATACTTTATCTCAAGTGAAGGGATCAAAGTCGATGAGAAAAAAACACAAGCCATACGAGATTGGCCCGTTCCCACAACAATGCAGCAAGTTAGAAGCTTCCATGGCCTTGCATCCTTCTATCGGCGATTTATGAAGGACTTTAGTACGATCACTGCCCCCCTCACGGACTTGACAAAGAATCCGAAGTTTGAGTGGAACTCGAGAGCCCAACAAGCCTTCGAAGCAATCAAGGATCGCTTAACGCATGCCCCCATATTGGCCCTTCCCAGTTTCGAGAAATTGTTCGAGGTGGAGTGTGATGCATCGGGAGTTGGCATCGGGGCTGTCGTAACTCAAGAGGGACACCCGGTTTCCTACTTCAGTGAGAAGCTCAATGACACACGGAGACGCTATTCTACCTACGACAAAGAATTCTATGCGTTGGTACGGTCTCTTGAGCATTGGCGACACTATCTCGTGAGTAAGGAATTCATCCTTCACTCCGACCATGAGGCGTTGAAGTACATTCAAGGGCAGCACAAGCTTTGACCCCGTCATGCCAAATGGGTTGAATACATTCAAACCTTTACATTCACCATCAGGCACAAGAACGGGTCCATGAACAAAGGCGCGGATGCGTTGTCCCGGAGACACTTATTACTAACGGTACTTAGTACCAAACTTCTTGGTTTTGAATTTTTGCAGGAACTCTACAAGGATGATGAAGATTTCAAGGAGATGTATGCCCAATGCTTATCTCGGCCCCATGGAGATTACCTAATCAAAGATGGTTACCTCTTTCGTGGTAATCAACTGTGCATCCCTAGGAGCAGCGTTCGTGAAACCCTGATAGACGAGGTCCATGGTGGTGGACTGGCCGGTCATTTCGGAATCAACAAGACTTATTTGATGATGAAAGAGCATTACTTCTGGCCCAAAATGGAGAGAGACGTCGAGCACTTCATCAAGAGATGTCACACTTGTCAACTTGCAAAGTCCCAAGCCTTACCCCAAGGAATGCACTTACCCTTACCCGTCCCATACGCCCCGTGGGAAGATGTTAGCCTGGATTTCATTACCGGGCTGCCCCGAACTCAACGAAGCAAGGATTCCATAATGGTGGTTGTGGATAGATTCTCAAAGATGGCCCATTTCATTCCCTGCGTTACTACATACGATGCTTCCCAAGTAGCCGATCTCTACTTCCGAGATGTAGTTAAACTCCATGGCATACCCCGCAGCATGGTCTCTGATAGGGATCCCAAATTCCTTAGCCATTTTTGGATGACATTGTGGAGAAAGCTAGGCACAAAGCTCAAATTCAGCACCGATAGCCATCCGCAAACTGACGGTCAAACCGAGGTCACCAACAGAACGCTTGGAACTCTCCTTCGAGTTCTAATCAAACGAAACATCAAGCAATGGGAAGAGCTACTGCCGCACGCCGAGTTTGCCTATAACCGAACCCCAAACAAGACCACAGGGCTATCCCCATTCATGGTGGTCTATGGCTCGAACCCCCTCACCCCACTTGAACTTGATCCCATCGTAGGAAAAGAGCAATACAGTTGGGCAGCTGATCAACGGTCCAAGGAAATTCAAGAACTCCACGAAAAGGTTCGAGAGAAGATTGAAGCGGTAAATGAGAAAGTTAGTAACAGGATCAACAAAGGAAGAAAATTCACAAGTTTTCAGCCCGGGGACTTGGTTTGGATTCACCTAAGGAAAGAGCGTTTTCCCGCTAAACGTAAGTCCAACTTACTACCAAGAGCCGACGGTCCATTCGAGATTTTAGAGAAGATCAACGACAACGCCTACAAAGTCAATTTGCCTGGAGATTACGGAGTTTCTGCTACATTCAACGTTAAGGATCTCAGTCCATATTTTGACCCTGAAGAACTTCCGAGTTTGAGGACAAACTCTTCTGAAGACGGGGAGGATGATATATCCCAGAGCACCACAAATCACCCTCAAGTCCTTAAGGAAATCAATGGAATAATGTCCAAGTGTTATGACCCCCTCTGGAATGAAATCATCACCAAACCATGCACCCTAACCATACTTACCCTGAACCCATCACCACCTTAATAACCAATCCCAACATTTCACAATCCATTCCCAGGAATCCAAAGAAAACCAAGCCACAATTTCCCTTTCTTCT